GTATATATATATATATATATATATATATATATATATATATATATATATATATATATATATATATATATATATATATATTTAACTAAAGCACATTCTAACGTTAATAGAGTAATAGATTACGATAATCCTTTTCAAACACGAATTCACAAAACTACCAATAATAGGACGAAATAAGTTCTCATTATATATAATTCAAATATATACCTTCTCTTCCTTAATTCCTTGATTGCTGCAGCTTTCTTTCAGTAGCATTCTGTAATGAATGAGCAGCACACTCCAACAGTACTTAGACGCAGTACTAGAGAGAAGCATTTGCCAAGTCACTTGGACCACTACGTGGTCCCCAATTCAAAAGGGAAAGTTGTATCTGTCAAACCGTTAGAGAAGGGACAAGAATTGCTTGGCAAGAAATAGCATATATAGCAGCAACAACAATTCGAATAGGTGTGGATGAAGTTTGCTTTTTATTTCATTAGCTACATTGTAGCAGTCTGGGACCTCTCTTTTCTTGTTTGTCATTTTTTGTTCACTGTTTCTCCTTGTTTTCCGAAGGATTGAGGATCATATAGTGTTACCCTTCAATTCAATTGAATATCATATCTTGTTTCCTTACATTTGGTGCTTTCATTGAACCTCCTTCTACAAATGGGTGACGGTGCGCACAATACTCGGTTGGATGAAGCTGTGAAACACCTCTAAGAACAGTCAGTTGTTCACACCAAAGCTCTGGACTCCATCCACAATACCCTTCAGGATATTGCTGCGCACATGGCTTCTCAGAGAGCTCCTTCTCCGACGCCGATGCCGATCGCTACTAGCCCTTCTTCCTCTGTGTAGGGTCAATCATCGATGCCGCAACAACAAACTGGATATAAGCAACATATATCACCACACACACCAGTTTTTAACGTCACTCAACCACCACAACAACAACAACCCTCTAATCACTTTCGCAGAGACAGAGCAATTGAATTGCCAATGTGCGACGGTAACGCTGCGGAGAGTTGGATTTTCCAGGCCCATCAGTATTTCGACCACTTCAATGTTTTCGACGAAGAACACATCAACCAATGTTCCTTCTTCCTTGAAGGCGACGCCAGAGATTGGTGTCAATGGATGTACCGGAATCATCAGTTATGTGGTTGGACTCATTTGATGAGAGCTTTTGTGACTCGTTCTGGAGCAAAATCATTGGAATCACCGGAGAGTTTGCTTGCAAAATTGCAAATGACTTCTTCCGTTCATGACTATCTCTCCCGTTTTGAAAAGCTCGCTAACCGTAGGACGGAGATGTCACCGCCGATGTTGAAACATTGCTTTACTTCAGGGCTTCTACCAGATATTAAGGCTGATGTGCTTTCGTTTCGTCCCGTGGACTTGAATGAGGCCATTGGTTTGGCCTTTTTACAAGAGCAGAAATATTTGGCCCAACCCAAACAAACAACCCGGCCCACTTCATTCTCTAAACCACAGCCTCTTTCCCTGCCATAACAAACCACTTAGAACCCTAAATCAACCACGTCAATCTCTCCTTCTTCACAGTCTTCGACTGCCTCTCTTCCCGGAGTTGGCCGCATCCCTTTTAAAAAACTAACACCGGCGGAGGTTCAACGCAAACGCGAGCTAAATTTGTGCTTCAATTGTGACGAAAAATACCACAAGGATCATCGTTGCTTCTCTACACCCCAGCTTTTCCTTCTTCTAGCAGATGACGAAGCCCTTGAGGATCCTCCATCGGAATTGTTACCACCACCATCTGATTCCTCTCCTCATGATATATCACCTGCCTCACCCTCTCTTCTAACCATCAGTCCCACGCCTTGTCTGGCGGACTACACTCCTCCACTATTCGCTTGACTGGCTACATCAAGGGCCTTGCAACTCAGATTCTCATTGATGGAGGTAGCACTCATAATTTTGTCAATCCTTGCTGCTAGGAAACATAAATTGGCTATTGAACCATCTACTAAATTTTCTGTTGTGGTTGGAAATAGGCATGCATTGACGTGTCTTGGAGTGATACATGATGTTCCTATTACTATTTAAGGTTTTTTTCCCACTAATTTCTTTGTCATTGATCTTCATGGGTCTGACCTTGTTTTGGGTGTGGTTTGGCTAGCCACACTAGGTCCTAGTACTACAGACTATGTCAACCGTCTCTTTGAGTTCAACATTTCTGGGCAACACATTTGTTGGGTAGGTGAACCTTTTTCTTCCCCAACCCAAATCAATATGTCCACCCTTCGTCGTTTTTCACAAACTGATGCCATTTCTTATCTCCTGTGGTTAGATCTCCACTCTACATCTACCACTTCTTTACCTGATTATCCTCAAGACTTATCCCTTCTCCTCCAATCCTATGATGATGTATTCAAATCCCCTGAGTCATTTCCACCCTCTAGACCTCAGGACCATCGTATTCCACTGCTTCCGGGTGCTATCCAATTAATGTGCGTCCTTATCGGTACCCCCATTTTCAGAAGGCTGAAATTGAACGCCAAGTGTCCGAAATGCTTATGTCTGGTGTTATCCGTCCCAGTTCAAGTCCTTATCCTTCCCCTGTTCTATTAGTTAGGAAGAAAGATGGGACATGGCGTTTTTGCTTTGATTACCGGGCCTTGAACTCCATTACAGCTAAAGATCATTTTCCTATACCTACTATTGATGAACTGTTTGACGAGTTGCACAATGCTCGCTTCTTCTCTAAACTGGATTTATTTGCAGGGTATCACCAAATTCGCCTCCATCCCCCGGATATTGAAAAGACTGCCTTCCACACTCACGATGGGCATTATGAGTTCACTGTTATGCCATTTGGGCTTTCGAATGCCCCCTCCACCTTCCAGTCCACAATGAACTCCATTTTCGAACCGTTTCTTCGCCAATTTGTCCTCGTATTTTTTTGACGATATTCTCATTTATAGTCAATCATGGCAGGATCACCTAGCTCACCTTCGCTCTGTATTTGACAGTCTTCGTAGCAATGCTTTAGGGGTAAAAAGATCAACATGTCAATTTGGTCAGTCCTCCATTGCCTATTTGGGTCATATTCTATCTTTTGATGGCCTTCAAGTTGATCCAGAGAAAATTGCTGCTATCATATCTTGGCCCTATCCTTCATCTGTCAAAGATGTACGTGGATTCCTTGGCCTAATGGGCTATTATCGACGTTTTGTCAAAGGATACGCCCAATTGGGTTCACCTCTCACGAACTTGTTAAAGAAAGATTATTTCCTTTGGTCTGATATGGCTTCTGCTGCTTTTTTAAAACTCAAGAAGGCCATGAGCTCCGTTCCTATTTTATCCTTGCCTGACTTCTCCAAAGTCTTCACAGTGGAAACAGATGCATCGGGTACAGGGATTGGTGCAATGCTATCTCAAGAAGGTCATCCCATTGCCTTCTTCAGTTAGAAATTGTCTTCAAGAATGCAGGCTGCCTCGACTTATAATAGGGAGATGTTTGCTATCACACAAGCTGTTCAAAAGTGGCGGCAGTACCTATTGGGCCGCAAGTTTATTGTAATCACAGACCAACAACCTTTAAAATCCCTCACTAGTCAAGTGATCCAAACACCCGAACAACAACGTTGGCTCAGTAAACTAATTGGGTATGATTTTGAGATTCTTTATAGACTGGGAAGACTCAATTCAGCTGCCGATGCTCTTTCTCGGGTTCCTACATTGCATGCCCTCACCTTGGCTGTTACTGAATTGGCTTTAATTGACTGGCTGCGGGCCTTGAACAAAACAGACCCTGAGTTATTAGCCTTGCAAAGGAAATTGGAGAGTGATCCAACTGCCTGACCTCACTTTTCCTTTCAGGAGGGTTTTCTTTTATTTCACAACCGACTGGTTGTCCCTCGAGATACTAAGCATCGCAAATTACTACTTGAGGAATTTCACTCCTCCAAAATTGGTGGATATGCAGGCATCTCTCATACTTTTCATCGCCTCACTTCCAATTTTTATTGGGATAGCATGCGGATAGATGTGAAAATTTTTATCATGACTTGTCAAATCTACCAGCAAATGAAGAACTCAAATTTGAAACCTGCTGGACTGCTTTCCCCTTTGCCAATTCCAGAGGTTATCTTCGAAGATATTTTAATGGATATCATCACTGGTTTGCCTCCTTCCCATGGTCGCACTGTTATTTGGTCATTGTGGATCGTTTGTCCAAATACGGCCATTTTATTGCCTTGCGCACAAACTTCACCGTCACGACCCGGATTTCCCTCCCTCGGGAGTCGTGATGGTCCTACTAATGAAAGCTAGGCAAGCCAACCGTTTAAACAAATTACCCTTTTTCCCATTTTAATTCTTTAACAAATGTGAATCAACAGTTTATAAACAACGGAAATTAAACAAGCGGAAGAAATAATTAACCCATTTAAATAATTCCAATACGATTTCATAACTTCACAGACGGTCTAGGAATATTACAAAAAAAGTCTGAAAAATAAATAATATAGTGTTTCTGAAATACGTAAATGAAATAGGATGAAGGGATAGAGGGAGACGCCAGTGCTTGCGGACGCCCGCCTGCAGGATTACCTTGGATCTCCGTATGGACTGAAGGCAGCCACCCAAAGCTAAGGTCCAAAAGCTGCTGTGCTGGGATCAGCACACAGTGCAGAGTGTAGTATCAGCACAACCGACCCCATGTGCTGTAAGTGCCTAGCCTAACCTCGGCAAAGTAGTGACGAGGCTAGGACCAGACTACCAAATAAACCTGTGCAGTTAAATCATATACGGCAGAAAGTAAAAGCAGGAATGTACAGTTAAAAATGGGAGGGGGAAACATGCTGCGGGGGAAACATCAATTAAGAATAGAAAGACAGCAAGTAAATACGAGGAACACCATATCTCAATTATCAACAAGAACCAGAAATCAAGCAAGTGCACGGCATCACCCTTCGGGCTTTTACTCTCGTCCTCACCAAAAGAATCAATATAAACTGTACGGCATCACCCTTCGTGCTTTTACTCTCGTCCTCACCATAAAATCAATATAATCGGCACGGAATTGTACATCGTGCGGCACGGCATCACCCTTCGTGCTTTATCACTCTCTCACCAAAACAATACACAGCATCACCCTTCGTGCTTTAACACTCTTCCTCACCCAAACAACAATCACAAGCAATAAGGCAAGGAAGTAAGTAAAATTGCAATAAAATCCCGGCAAGGGAATAATAGTTCAACAATCAAATCCCGGCAAGGGAACAATATCAAAAGCATCAACATCCCGGCAAGGGAGATAGCATTAAAAGCAAAAACATCGCGGCAAGGGAGACAATATAATAATTCTCTTCTCTTTTACACTTTTATTTCACAACTCATTTCACAACTTGAGACAATGCTCTATAAAGTTCAAATGCCAATTATACTTCTATAATTCATTATACAACTTGAGCCAACACTCTTCGATACTCAAATACCACTATTTCCTCCACAAACTTTACTCAACAATAAAAATTATCACAAAAGGCATGACCAATACAAACGGAGTCATAATAATCATAATACCAGACTCACGTGCATGCTTGACACCAACGCATAGATACTCGTCACCATGCCTATACGTCGTACTCAACAAATATCACATAGCAAATAGGACTCGACTCCTAATCCCTCAAGCTAAGGTTAGACCATAACTTACCTCGATGCCATGAACACAATTCAAGTCTCAACTATCGCTTTACCTCTTGATTCCACCACCAATTCGCTCGTATCTAGCCACAAGTTACTTAATCACATCAATAAATGCTAAATGAATCAATTGTAATGCATGAAAATAAGTTTTCTAAAGTTTTTCCCAAAAAGTCAAAAATCGC